ATAAAACTCCATTTTGTTTGTTTAGAATCATTTATAATCCAGATGTATTTGGGTAACAACAGTTTTATTAGTGCAGCATGATTACAGACATACATTAAAAGTACAGAATTATTTAATCCTCTTGTGGAAAATGATGCCCATGAATTCCTTGTGATTATATTTGATATATTAGAACAATATAACGTAAACAGTAGTAATATGCCAGTACATATTTTACAAAGTGTATTTATGGGAATCTATAATAACACATATAAATCAAAACATTGTGCATATCAAAATGTTAGACTTGAGAACCATTAACTTTTCACAACTTCCTACCACATATTCTAGTAATAATGAACAAGTTTCTATTTCAAACTGCCTTAATGATTATTTTAGTGAAGAAATAATACATGATATATTCATGTAGTCATTGCAACGAAGTTCATAACATTGTAAAAAATGTGACCAATCAAGTATTACCACCATACCTTGTTATACAGTTGAAACGTTTTTCTAATTTGGGGAACAAAATAGAGACACCTGTCAGTTATTCAATAATTTTAAACATGTCTGAGTATGTAAGCAACAGTTACTATGATAATACTTCATACAAGTTATATGGTGTAATAGTACATCAGCCAATCTATTACGTTACTATGCCTGTATTAAAGCATCTGACAATAACTGGTATAAATTCAATGATGATAGCGTGACACTTATTGATATCGAAAAAGTTTTTTTAAAAAACAGGCTTACATGTAATCTTATCAGTTGATAGAAATAAATTGTATTTGTTTATGAATCCACCAATTACAGTCAAGAACCATGTCACATACTTAGTTGGCAAGATTTATCTACTATGTGAAAGATCAGATTTAAAATATGGCTCATGTTAGTTCATCTCTTCAAAATGACATGTTAAGTAAAGAATTACACAGGCAAATTAAGCTTGATGAAATAAAAAAGAGGCATGTAAAATCTGATGTTATTGACCGTAAGAGGGAATATACAAAACAATATATGAAACAGAAACGTAACAACCAATGTTATCGTGAGTCAAGACAAAAAGACATTTCACAACTGGAGAACGAAAGATATTCAGGGAGATTAAGTAGAGAAAATATAGAACAATTGGAAAAGGAGAAAATGCAATGAGATTAAAGAGGGTAAATATAGAACAATTAGAGAAGGAGAAGAATACAATGAGATTAAAGAGGAAAGCTGTAGAACAATTTGCGAAGGAGAAGAATGCAAAGAGATTAAAGAGGAAAAAATAGAACAATGAGAGAAGGAGAAGAATGCAATGAGATTAGAGAGGAAGATATAGAACTATTAAAAAGGGAGAAGAATGCAATAAGATTAAAGGAGAAAAATATAGTGCTATTAGAGAAGGAGTATAATGCAATGAGTTTAAGGGGGAAATATAGAACTGTTGGAGCAGGATAAGAATGCAATGAGATTAAAGAGGGAAAATATAGAACTATTAGAGAAGGAGAAGAATGCAATGAGATTAAAGAGGGTAAATATAGAACTATTGGAGACGAAAAAGAATGTAATATGATTAAAGAGGAAAAATGAAGAACAATTAGAGAAGGAGAAGAATGCAATGAGATCAAAGAGGAAAATATAGAACTATTAAAGGAGAAGAATACAATGAGATTAAAGAGGAAAAATATAGAACAATT